TATCCACTTTTTCGAGGAATATTAACGAAAACGATATTTGGCATTGATCCTTTTAATATGTTTTAGCAATGTGCGTGTATTTAATATTCTCTTTACGTTATGCACAATTGTACAAACAGTGGAAATTATAAAATAGCTCTATTTATTTATATAAACAAACCCTACTCTATTATTTCTAATAAGACACTGCGGTGCACTGAAAAGCACAGCATGGTGCGTAGTTTACTTTTATAGTCCCAAAATCTATAGCGATGACGGACAGACACAGCCCGCTTATATTATAGATATAGATATAGATATAGATATAGATATATATATATATATAGATATATATATATATATATATATATATATATATATTATTTTTTTTTTTTTAAAGATGTATTTGAGATCTCTGAGCTAGCACCAGCCAGATATTGTGCTAATGGATATCAGGCTGGCGCAGATGGTCCTCGGTATACTTTTAAAGCCAACTTTACAGGCGCCTATTCACAGTTTTTTGGCGGTTCTTACCTACTACACGACGTGATTTCTGGCGTTGGAAGAGTAAGATTTCTTATTATCTATGTTGGGTCATTTATGATAACCTGGTATGGATAAAAGTAATCATAAATCATAACTTAGAAAAAATATCTTTACGTGTATTTTTCAGGTGCGGAACTACAGTGCTGCCAGACCCCGCCATTCGGGGTAGGGGGGGGGGGGGGCGGCCCACGCCGTTTAGGGGGCCCACAGCCGCCCATAATCATTTTTTTTATAGTTTAAAAAATTAATTTTCTTGCATTTTTGACCTAATGGTTGTTTTGAAAAAGAATACCAAAGCTGCGGTTGGATTATCTTTATTTTATTAACACCATCCCACGCTCTTGTATATTCTTTTTCCTACAATCAAACACACGCTGTTGTCGGCAAAATACTTTTGAAAAAACGTCCATTGCGCGAGAGTCCGCTAGATATTAAGACGACTTTTTGAGATTATCCCACATTCGGTACTGATGGATAAAAATACATCGGCGCTTTGTTGGCCCTTTTAAGTTCCTTTCTCAAACCTCCCCTCCCGCTCTTAGCCTTACAAGGAGCGAATAGATAGCGCCTCAACAACTAAGCTGGCTCGTATCGGTGATGGTGTGGACAAACTAGCGGCCCAACAACTAAGATCCAAGAAATAAAGTGCCGACATTGTTTACGTTTAACAACCATTGTTCTAGAAAACAAGGCAAACGTCTAAAATAAATACACGATTAATAACGTGTTTTATATATATATATATATATATATATATATATATATATATATATATATATATATATATGTATATTAGTTTCGCCACTGGAACCTTAATAGTGGTTTTGTAAAAAAAATAATATACTGATGAGCTGTAGTGTGAAAGATAGGCATACGTTCAAACCACTTCCATAAATTATTTCCCTTTTTTAAATATTCAAATAGGGCTGCTCATAGGCTCATTTTAATAGGTTTGTACTAATCAAATTAAACAGCAATTACTTATCTTAATTATTATTTTAAGAAAAATTAATTACTAAAGAATGGTATAGTATAAAAATGAAGTGTAGTTAAAATTAATAATATAAATAAAAATAAACATAAAAATAAACAAAAGACAAGACACCATTAATTATACAAAGCTTTCATTATTTATATTCTTTTGACCGACTTGAGGACTAAAAGTATTAAGTCAAACATAAGATAAAACAGATTTTTCAAAACAGACCAATGCACTCACACACACGACAAGTTGTTGTGATTAGTTTTAATTGATTTTTTTTTTCAAAACCCGGTCAGGCCAAAAATGAGTATCCTATGTTCGTATTGTGTGTTTGTGTATGTGTGTGTATATATATATATATATATATATATATATATATATATATATATATATATATATATATATATATATATATATATATATATATATATATATATATATAAAGGGGGGGGCAAAATTATTTTTTGCGGGGTGGCCCATTTTTTCTAGTTCCGCCACTGATATTTTTTATTGTTATTTGTGCATTATTTATGAAATAAACATAATGATGCTCGATTGGGATAGACATACCCATGATGCAAAAACGTTGAGAATCTGTTGTAACGTGTAACAACTGAACAAACAACTTAAAGTCGGATTCAAACCTATACTTTCGGGTTAGCCTTACAGCTCTCTACCGCTAGTCCACTCCGTCACCGTATGTGTACCCTCACAGTTCTATGTCAGTAAATGTTGGGGCTTATAAGCAGTCTCACAATTCTATCGATGTTGCTTTACATTATACGTTTAATTCACTTTTTATTCGTAATCAAAAATGTATTTTTCAACACTGTTCTACTTTTATTTCTTAGCAAGAACCATGTCTAAACAGTTCACGTGTTTATTGTGGTACTCGTCAAGGGCCGTGCACTATTAATACAAGACAGAAGAGTTCTAGACTATTCATGCTTTTGCCAGAGTATGGGTGCGAATCTAGTGATGCTTATTTTATGTTAAGTTGGTCCATTACTAAAGATAATCGCACGATTTATGGCAATACAAATAGGCTGGAACTTGGTCCCATAAGCAGTGAGTAATTGGCATTTTTTAAAATTAATATAATTTTCTTTATTCAGCTTTTACTTGTATAAGTTCTGACCAGCCAATCACTTCATAAGCCGTTATACAGAAAAAGGTGAACTCTACCTCACTTGCCCCATGGATCGTTAGCTACTTTATTTTTGAAATACACATAATATACATATAATTGTAGTTTAATACAAGCTTTTTAATTAATTACTAGACTACCCGTTATCTAGTTAGATAACTGTGGGTTTCGGGGGCCATCCATAAATGACATCACATCTTCACTTTTCATTACAAAATAACCAGACCCACATTCAAAAAGACGTCACACCTCAGACGTTTTTGTCTTTTAAAAACACTGATTTCGTCTGAGCATGGGTCTGACAACATAATCTCTTCATATGATGAGGTCACAAAAACAGGTTAACTCTACTTCACTTGCCCAATGTCCTCCTTACTCAGACTTGTTTTTCGGCTGAGCATGGGTCTGACCACACTATCTCTTCATATGCTGACGTCGCAGGTGAATTGTACACTTACCCAATTCTACTTCACCTGCTCAGTGTTCCGCCAAGTATCAGACAATATGTTTTATCTTTAAAAAAAATATTTCGGCCAAGCATGGCTTTGACTACACTATCCACGTTGTATACTGAGGATAAAGAAACAGGTGAACACTACTTCACCTGCCCTGTATCCCGCTAAGTTCCAATAGGCAAAGGCAACTTTATCATTCACAACAACAAAAAATAATAATAACATTGACGTGTCTCGAACCCGGGCCACCCGAATGGTAACCTAATGTGCTAACCTTTTAGCTATCTTAGCTCGTACTCTGAAATATGTAATAACTTATATATTTTACTTTTAGTCTGCGTAAGAATCTACGCGAAAGGGCCCTAGAATTAGATTTAGATCTAATCTACAATTATTTCAAATGAAATTGTATCTTAAATTTGCAAATTGCATATCTAACAAACATAGATTTATATAAAATAATTAAAGCCTGAAACAGTTTAGTATATTATGATTCTAGCTCTTGATTATAGATGTAGAATTTACGTTAAATCTAGATCTAGATCTAGAATTTACGTTGAGTCTAGAATTAGATCTAGATCCAGATCTAGATTTCTAGATCTAGATCTAGATTCTAGAACCTAGATAGATAAATCCCATGCATTCTCGAATTAGATGATCATTGAAGCTAAACAAAGATTTATATAAAACTAGGCATATTGCCTAGCTTTGCTTAGGTTTTAAAATAAAGATAATGAGAATTTGAATGATTAATTAACTGGTGATTGGCTGTTATGTGGAGTTCTTAGTTGTTTTTTTTTTTTTTTTTTTTTTTTTTTTTTTTTTTATGGGTTAAATACTTTCATTTGCAATTTAAAACAAGTACATTAACATCAAATTCTTACATAATTTCGAACATCAAATGAAAACGAAATAGTAATACAATATATTACAATATATTACAATAGTAATATTTCTTTCTTACTTGTAGCCTGCTTTCATTCATTTAAGATGGTTTACATATAGATCTACATAGATGTAATACAAAACGCCTAAATATAAAGAAAAATTAAAAATTAAAAACCAACCTGAAACTGAAAATGTGTAATTAAAATTAAATGATGATTCAAGGGATTTTTTTTCTCGGCCTGGTGGGCTGAGGGGACGAGGGGGGAGAGGGGGAGTTTTTTTTTTTTTAAAGTAGAGCTTAAATGAATTTGGGATTACAGAGAATTAAAATGATACAAATTTTAAGCAATCGGAAAAGTTATGTTATTTCAATGAGACACGTAAAAGCAAACACTTCCCTTTCAAACATCTATATCTATACAGTCCTCAATTAGTTTTTTTTTCTTTTTATTTTTTTTTTTGTTTATTGATTCAATTGTTTTAAACATTTAAATCAGTAATAATTATTTATTTGATAGATTTTACATACATAAAAAAAATGTGGAGTTCTTAGGGCCTAAGTTTAAAGAGACTTTAGTAATTTCTTGTCATGCTAACATGAAGTATTCGCAAGCTTATAACTCGCAAGGTTATTAGAACTGCAAAGGGGTCATCCATAAATGACGTCACGCTTTTTTTGACGATTTTTACCTCCCCCCCTCCCCTCCGTCACACTTCGTTACAAAAAGCCAGACCCCCCCCCCCCTAAAATGACGTCACACCTCAACCTACAACCCCCCTCAAAATTGCAGTTGAATTTTTTTAAAACATTGATATTTTTTCAAAATCTTGTCTAAACTATTACAATTTATTAAAACAGTTATCTAAAACGCGAAATAACGTCTAAAATTCGTTTTCTAACATTGCTTTTTTATAATGCAAAAATGTGACGTCGCAACATCTGACCCCCCCCCTCCCCCTCATCACACATCGTCACAAAATTACGGACCCCCCCTCCCCCCTACGAGTGTGACGTCATTTATGGATGACCCCAAAGGCTTCCTAACTAGCATAAAGAAAAAATAAAATAAATTCAGTTTCGTTATTAATTTTTACATTTGTATTACAATAAATAGGTGCACTTTAATTAATAATTAAATATCTATTTAAACGAATACTATACGTTGTAATTTTTGTTCTTTCTTTAAAATAGTATTAAAATTATTTTAAAAGTATTGTTTTAATAAGTTACCTCCCCTGTGCAAAGATTAATAAACGACAAAGTGTTTGTTTACGTATTCACAAATAAGTGTTTATATACGAAAATACGTCTGCTGGTCAAATCTAACGACCGTAAAAAAAAAATTCCGATGGGAATAAAGTTTTTTGTTACCCTCCAGTGTCGGTTTACAACCGCACAAAATATTAGGGGGGGGGGTCGTTCGGCAAGAAATTTAAATACATTTTAAATCAGGAGAATTTCACTCGCTGTCATTGTTTAGCCCTCGTCGAGGGCTTTGAGTCTGTCCAACGGATTTTCCATACGGCCTAGCCATCTATAGAAGTGCATGCAAAAATTAGCCAGGTATACCGAGGTCAAGTACCCTAAAATGTGTGTTGAAAGTACCCTGTTTTTCCCATAAAATACAAAGATTATATAGATAAAAACGACTGGTTAGTTTTGACCCCTTTACGAAGTTTTCCCAGATATGGCGAGTTTTTTATGACACCCCTAGGTGTTCTCCTATCATCTCACAAAATATCAAGGGGGGTCGTTCGGCAAGAAAATGTTTCGTTATATGGCTCAAATAAGGAGATTTTTCACTCGCGACCATCTTTTAGCCCTCGTCGAGGGCTTTGAGTCAAACCGACAAATTATTCGTACGGCCAAGCCATTTACCTATGGGCATGCCAAAAATTAGCCTGATATGCTGAGGGTAAGTACCCTGAAAACTTTGTTGAAATTACCCTCTGTTTTCCCCATAAAATACAAAGATTACATAGGGAAATAGGACTGGTCAGTTTTGACCCATTTCCTGATTTTTCTTGGACATGGCGAGTTTTTGGTGACACCCCAAGGCGTTCTCCTACCACCCCACAAAATTTCAAGGGGGGACGTCGGACAAAAGTTTTTTTTTGTAATAAAGCTCATATAAAGAGAATTTCACTCGCAGTCACTTTTTAGCCCTCGCCGAGGGCTTTGAGCGAAACCGCCAGGTTTGCCCTACGGCCAAGCCATTTACCTAAGAGCATGAAAAAATTAGCCTGATGTGCAGAGGGTAAGTACCCTGAAATCATTGTTGAAATTACCTTCTGTTTTCCCCATAAAATACAAAGATTACATAGGGAAATAGGACTGGTCAGTTTTGACCCATTTCCTGATTTTTCTTGGACATGGCGAGTTTTTGGTGACACCCCAAGGCGTTCTCCTACCACCCCACAAAATTTCAAGGGGGGACGTCGGACAAAAGTTTTTTTTTGTAATAAAGCTCATATAAAGAGAATTTCACTCGCAGTCACTTTTTAGCCCTCGCCGAGGGCTTTGAGCGAAACCGCCAGGTTTGCCCTACGGCCAAGCCATTTACCTAAGAGCATGAAAAAATTAGCCTGATGTGCAGAGGGTAAGTACCCTGAAATCATTGTTGAAATTACCTTCTGTTTTCCCCATAAAATACAAAGATTATATAGGGAAATACGACTGGTCAGTTTTGACCAATTTCCAGTTTTTTCTAGGACATGGCGAGTTTTTTGTGACACCCCTAGGCGTTCTCCTATCACCTCACAAAATTTCAAGGGGAATCCTCGAGCAAATGTGTTTTTCGTAATATAGCCCATATAACGCGCCGGTCAGTCGAGGTCAGTTTTGACCCCGTCTACGTGGACTTGTTGGCCAACCGGCATCTGCTCTCGTGTTCTTTCGCCCCAAGACAGACTCATGCCAAATCGGGCACCGACAACTTTGCTTTATAAATATAGATAATTAAGGCCTGAAATAGATTCTAGATGTAGAATTTACATTAAGTCTAGATATAGAATTTACGTTAAGTCTAGTGACCTAGATCTAGATCTTTTTTCTTCCTTCGACAGCTGATCTGTAGATCTAGAGAAATGTATTGTATAGGCCTACTAAAATAAAAAGAACGGTTAAACAATTGATAATAGTGTTGAAACCTAATAAAAACAGCAAACGGGTGTATTGTTAAAGTTATAGCGGACAGAAAATTAGCTTTAGAAGCCGTTAAAGATCTGAATAGGCAACACAATCTTCGATGGACTCGCCATTGCTGTTTTAAAAAGTAAACAAATCATGTGACGTCACTATTCACTTAAAGTAAAGCCATAGTTTTGAATTTTTAAAATTAATGTGGTTAATCTACCAATGAATAAATTAATAAATTAATTAACTTCTTTAAATAAATTTGTGATTAACAGTCTGTCTGAAAACAAAAATATTTTACAGCTCTAAACAAAGTGCAGATTCTCTCCAGTAGCAAATCAGACAATTAAATAAATATTCAAACATGTAAACAAAGTTGAGTTTTAGTAGTATGTAGATAGAAGATTCCTTTTTTTGCCATTCTACAACCGAAGACACAAGG